GTATCATTGTTGATATGCATTTCTTTGATCTCTTTTTCTTTTCAAATCCAAGAAAAATAGGAAGACAATTTAACCAAACTTACACAACATTAAAACTTTTTTTTATTATGGAAAATATGTGATATTGTTAGATAAAGGCTACATTAATTGTCAAAAATGGGAAAAAATTGTAACAACTTAATTAACACGCTTCAAAATATTTAATAGTAAGAGATTGCCACAATCAAAAGCGAGAGTACATTATTTTAGATTTAAAAAAAGAAATTAAGGCCATGGCAACCACAGAGTGTATGACACAGGGGGAATTAATTCTGTCTGGATCATAAAAACAAAATAAATACACATAAACAACCCACAGATAATGTGAAAAATATAACTAAATAATATCTACACTGAACAGTCCAGAAAACAAAGATACAGCAAAAGGCTCATAACTGGTGTAAAGCAGACATTTCACAGCTATAGGACAACTTTACAAGCCTGATTTCACAAGTTTGCTTGCATGTTATTTAGCTTATCTTCTTTCATATCAAAACTTAATGGTGATATATTAGGGCTGTATCAATATATCGATATATCGATATGTATCTATATTCAAGAAAAATATCATATCGAAAAATTACTTCCAATACGTATCGGACAAGCAGTTTTTCTTCTAATTCTGCTAAAAAGATGTGAATTTTAACCAGCAAAGATTATATTGAACTTTTTTGAATTAAAATTGATCAATAATTATAGATTTATTAAAGAAATAACACAGTTTTTATAGTTATTATAAATTGCAAAATAATTTTATTTTAACATTTTGATTTTACAGTCATTAAAAGTTTCGATTGGAAGTGTTTTATTTACTGACTATGGGATAAGAACTTTGAAATGGGTAATAAAACACAATTTTTTTTATGAAATACATACATTAAATAATTAATAAGCCTTTTTTGATGGACTTGTTTTAGAATCCAATATATCGCATATCGCTTTAAAAAATATTGTATCGTATCGTATCGGAATTTTTTACTCAATACACAGCCCTATGATATATGTTACTTCTTGATTTGGAGCATGGTAAAGCTTGGTGTAATGTGCTGTGGCTTTTTTACTACATGGAACAAGTTTGAAAAAAAAAAACAATTACTGCAGAGGAAATTATTGTTGTCAAAAAAAATTCTGTGAGAAAAACATGGTTGCAATTCATAGGTTTGTGTGAGAGGCTTGTTCTAGTCCCAACTTGCCTCTCTGTGATCCAGATATTGCATGGATGATGATGTTTGGTACAAGATCAATTGTTTGATAAACTGCATTTCAGCAATCCAATACACACATCGGACTTTTCGGGGGAGCATCTTAGCTAGACTGCTTGTCATGGCAGAAGAAAATCGCCCCTTCCACCTCCAAAGGCTTAGGATTTTGATTAACCAGTTGCTTTTAAATCACATGCAGCCTCCCCCCCCCCCCCCTTCCCCATCCGAATTTGGACTTGTTGGAAGAATATTCTGGCTTGGATTTCGCAAAGAAAACAAATTTTTACTCGATTTCAATCTAAAATCCTGAGAAAAAAACTCTGCTAAGATTTTTCTCAAATCGCATTTCTCAAACAAACTCAGTCTAATCTCAGATACGTTTTTTTTTTCTCAACTGAGTTTTTCAACGTCACATAAGCGGCCAAATTTGAGATTTTTCTCAGAAATATAAGTAAAATTAAGACTTCAGTCTGAGATTTAACTCGAGAAATCCAAGTTCAAATGATTATTACTTGCTTCTGTTCAGAAATCTTGGTTTAGTGTGCCTTCCCAAATTGGTGTGTCAAAAGTCCTTGCAGGAGCATGCAATAGCACGATGAAGCGATAATAAATATCGCTTCATCGATATCGTACCATCGTCATCGCATCATTGTGTCATCATTATCGCTTCATCATGAAACCAATATCGACCCAAACCTCCACAGTGCAAAAATGTGACAGTGAACAAAATGGCCATAAAAACTTGTTTGAACAAAATGCTGGACTGGTAGACTTCACTCTGAGCAATGGAAAAATTAAGCAGACAAATTTCATGATCAATTTTTTAATTCAAAATATCAACTACTTTATCACATGTAGCCTTTGATACATGTTTATAAATAAGGCATTCTAGCATTAGTGCAATGCCCCCTGTTACACTTTCTAAAGGCATTCTATGTTCAGACAATTCCACTCCTATAAACATATATTGCCATCATTCAGATCTAAGTCATTGTGAACAATGCAGAACAAGAAAGAAATAAATGTCAAATAATCCGACTCCAAAAATAAGGACTTATTCACATTTTTAAAATATCTTAAATTTGCTTTAAAATTGGTTGTATCATTGGTTGATATGCCACTGGGTGAAAAAAGTGGTTTCCCATCATGGGAAACTTTATGGAAACCACATGGAAACCTCAAGTTTACATCATGTTTCCCAGTGGTTTCCGTAGCGGATGCTAGGTTATTCCGCCAAGTTTCCGTGACACGGAAACCCCCTACGCTCCGATTCCATAAGGTATCCCGAACCACGGAAACCTCTGTAAACCTGAAGTTTCCCGCACATCCATGTAGTTTCCCGTAATGGGAAACCTGAAGATTCCACTGGTTTCCTGAATCAGGAAACTTGATGGAATCGGAGCGTAGGGGGTTTCCGTGGAATGGAAACTTGGTGGAATCTTTAGGTTTCCTTTTATGGGAAACTACATGGAAGCTCGGGAAACCTCACGATTCCTAAAGTTTCCATGACTCAGGAAACCATATGGAATCGGAGCGTAGTGGTTTCCGTGGAATGGAAACTTGATGGAATCTTTAGGTTTCCTTATACGGGAAACTACATGGAAGCTCGGGAAACCTCACGATTCCTAAAGTTTCCTCGACTCAGGAAACCATATGGAATATGAGCGTAGTGGTTTCCGTGGAATGGAAACTTGATGGAATCTTAAGGTTTTCTTTTATGGGAAACTACATGGAAGCTCGTGAAACCTTATGATTCCTACAGTTTCCTTGACTCAGGAAACTACAGTAAAACACGTTTAGTACGAACACGGATATAGCGAATTCACGGTTATAACGAAGTTTTTCTGGGTCCCCGGCAAAATTCTTAACAAATCTTTGTAAAATTTTACGGTTATAACGAACTCTGATATAACGAATTTACGGATATAGCGAACTGATTTTGAGTCCCGTTGAGGATAAATATAATGAATTTTACATCTTTTATAACGAACTTTCCAAGATTTCAAAATTTGAATAATGTCCTTCGGATGAGACCGTATAAACCGAGGCCCCGTGTCACAGCAGGTGTGGCACGATAAAGATCCCTCCCTGCTCAATGGCCCTGAGTGCCGAGCATAGGCCTAAATTTGCAGCCCTTCGCCGGCAATGGTGACGTCTCCATATCAGTGAAATATTCTGGAGTGGGACGTTAAACGGTATACAATCAATCAATCAATCTCTCAGCATTTGTATATAAAATTCAATTCATAATAAAATCTTAGTTATCGAAGGTATGTTTTGTGATATTTGCTTCCCTAACATATTTGATAGTAACACTTGAAGGAAAACATGCATGATTGCGAATTCGCTATATATGGTTATACGAATTCGTTATACGGATATAACGAATTACGGATATAGCGAATTAAATTCACAGGTCCCCAGGACTTCGCTATAACCGTGTTTTACTGTATATGAAACTTGTGTAACACTTTCTGTGTGGCGGAAACTTGGTGGAATTATCTGGAGTCCCATTCCTGGTGGAAATTACTGGGAAACTTCAAGATTCCCTAACTTTTCTAAAGGAAGCAATGTGAAATAATGTGTATTCTTTTAAAAATCTATCAAAAAAATTTATTACATGTAAAAGAAAAAAGCATTACCATTTTATATGTTTAATAATTCATTTGATGTACAAAAACTTTAACTGAATTTTTCAATGATATCAAAATATTAAATAAATCCATATATCTTAGATAAACAATGGAACAGTCTTTCACATTTAAGTCCATTCATAAGGGTCATTAAGTACTTCTTTCAACATCAGTTTCCTGGTTTTCTTCACATCACCTTTGATCTGCAATATTCATACAAAATTATTATATGATGTCAGAATTATAATACTTGAATATAACTTAGAAATCTGAAAGATCAGTCAATGTCCTTTAATATACCAATATCAATAATTACTTTCCATGACCATGATACATATGATTTCAGCTTTTAATGTATCTCTTTAATATTTAATGCTTTATGATAAGTGAAAAAAAAATAACATAAGGCCAAGCTTAAAAAATTCTTTGTTTGCAATTTTTAGTCTGAGTAGGTAGGTAGGCAATTTTTTTTTTTTTTTTTTGAAAAAAAAATATTTCCAGATCTTTGTTAGATAACATAAAATAAAGTTTTTTATAGGCCTACTTTACATGAATAAGCTGCACTCTTGGTATGATTGGTATGATTGATAAAGAAAAAAATTGAAAATGAAACAGTTTTAATATCCTGAAAAATTGGAGAGAAAAAAAAATATTACAAAATGGCTAAAAAAAAGTTTGGGTCGGGTGCATTTTCAGTGGGTCGGTCGGCAACTGCAAACAAACAATATTTTATTTTAGGCCTAATATAAATAATGTTTTCAGCCTTATTATGTCATTGAGAATATATTACTACATGTATCTCATACTAAGAACTCTGCTTTAAGTTTGATTAGTTTGAGAGAAAACATACTCTTTATAATAACAAAAATATTTGGGAGAGATTTTTTTTTTATTTTGATATTCGACCTAGAAATTGGTTGAAGATCATTGCAGACCCTCCACGGAGTCCACCCCATTGCACAAAAGCTAGATTACACCAGGCAGGGGAGAAATATACTCTGGACTACGATTTTAAATAAAGATATACAGTAGATCTTGATACTGACCTTTGACCTAGAAAATTGGTCCAAGGTCACTCTTCATCCACTATCCACAGGCTCTCTGTAGTTTACGTTTGAGAGAGAAATATGCTCAGAACAAGTGATATCAGATGGAGTGATGGGTAGACACTGTCTTAGGGCATCCACAGAACAGGACCTAAAAATAATGCAATATATATGTATTACAGTATAGATACACATGTACTTGTATATTAATGACTTATCATATGCTGCATTGGACACATATGATTTTATCATGGTTTAAGTATACATGCATCTTATGAGTAATTTTATACCGGTATTGCATGTACGCTCAGTTTATTTAAGAAATAAATAACAAGTTTATAAACTTCAATGGGAGAGATACCACAAATGTATATATAAACAAATTTAATTTTTTTTTTTACATATATTGTCCAACATTATTTACATCCATTCATCATGTTCATAAATTGGCTGATCAAAATTCAGTCAGTTTTAGATCTATATGATATACCATATTGATAAAGGATTTTCACATTTACAAAAGTTATTCCCCTTTGCAGGGTCGATCTGGGGTCAACCGGCTTAAGACGCTGTTTTCCGTCTTTAACCGTATCAACTTTGAGGGACAATATCTTAGAAATAAATCAGTATGAACATATTCAATATGATTTTCATGTTGCCCCCATACTCTGCCAATACAGATACAGATTGTAATTGTCCAATATTTTTGAAGATTGAAAATATTAACAAGTAACTTACAAAGGACAAAGTGGGAAAAATGAGCGATACGCCAACAATTGGAGAAAACTCTTAGGAATGTGAAATTCGTCTATTGGTGATGACAATTCCTGTTTTAATGTCACTCAAAAATTAAGAGACATTAAAAATTTAAGCCCTATTGTCATACACGCATGCTGTTTTTTCATCCATATAACCTTTTAGTATCATAAAATTTACCAAAATTTAATACTTCAAATAATTTCATTGAATATCTTTAAAATAAAGGAAACTCTAAAAACTTAGTGACTTGCAGAAATTATTCCTTGGAGAGAAAAAAATCTATCATATTTCATATAAATATGTGCATAATGAGCCTTTTTTATTCATTTAGAACATATGGTATGTGCCTCATTTCCCCAAGAAATTTTCAAAGACAATGGACTATCTGTAAGCAGAAATCATTGCTGTTTACTTACATTGGAAAAATTTATGAAAATAATTAATTTCCTATTTTTTTGATTTTAAATAATTCTTAAAATAATTTAATCTATCAAAAATAATCTAACTGACTGTAAAATAACATTTTTCATAATCTTAATCTATGGGCAGATCACTCTAACTTCATAAAACTAACTGATGTTAAAGTAGAACTCTTTAGTGTGCAGTTTTTAGAGCTTCCTTTAAGTAATCAAAATACTGACCAGCAAGAAATCAGTTAATAAGCATTTCCTTTTTTTCATTCAAATTTTTGGAGAGATCTCAGAGTTTTTTCCTGTTCAATTCAGGTTCGAGACGACAAAGTTTTATTGAAGTGTATGTATTAGAGAACTGATTGTATGTCAATCATAGCAATACACACATAACATGGAGGGGGCAAATTGTTTCAGCCCTAGCTTTTACTTAAAACTTCTTGTAGCTCACAGCTGATATACCACAGTTCAGTATTTAAATAAAATTTAGAATCTTTTTTTTCAGGCAATTGTCATATACATACGAATCATGAATGAATTACCACTTACCAAATGACCACATCCTGAATCATCATACATTTTCTATGATTTTATCTCACTGGTTTTCTTTTAAAGTCACACAGTTTTCTTCTCTCTGAAATGATAAATTATGTCCAGGTACTATTGCATTCTAATTTAAACTAATTATGTAATAGCATTAGCAACAACCGGGATGGAAGAAAAAATAACCAGAAGTCTCTGTCGAGATTGTAGCTCTACTGGTTTGTACTTATCAAAAACTGATGCACAGAATTATGTATCTTAGTATAGTCTACTTGTGTGCCAAGTTATATTGAAATCAGACTAAAATTTAAGGAGGAGTAGTGTTTGCAGACAGACGGACGGACGCCGGACGCTTTACTATCGCATAAGCTCTACTGGTCAGATACCAACAAAACAAGATGCGCTTGTGAAACACAGCAACAAAGTTCGAAAAAGCAATTTTATTAGCATACAGGTCACAGTCAAGATCACTGACACATAATCATTGTCCTTGTTGCCATTTGAAAGCACTTCATTAGTGGAGTATGCATACTAAAGTAAATATGAAGCCACTATCTCGTATAGTTCTAAAGTTATGGTGAAGGTTTAAGTTGACAACAGACACTCAGACAGACACACAGATATACAGTTATGGCAAAAGTTTGACCATTATAACTTGGTATACACACAGCCACTTCGAGGTATCAAGGGTAAAATTCACAGCACAGTGGGACTGCATTTTGACTTCGAGGGATCAAGGGTTTCGAAAGATCAGGAGTTCGAGAAATCAAGAGCAAATCTGCTTAGTTATATAGTGGAAAAAATCGGGACAAGAGACTCAATTCAAGCGATCAAGAACTTCCGAGAAATCGAAGTTCAAGCCATCAAGAGTTACCTGTATATACAGATATAAGAAGCATGTTATTATTTGCAATTTTGACCTAATGACAGCTAAATCTGTTCAGTAAGACAATACCGTGTACATGTATGTAAGTAGTTTTATTGTGCATGATTATTTACTTATTTTCTTGATCTTCTCAACTTGAAGTGTTCTGTAATTTATTACCAAGTTTGTAATAAACATAATGAAACATACCCTTTTCCACATCACATCCTGTATCAGACCTTCGACCAATATCAGCCCTAGGGTCTCTGTCCCTCTGGCTGAAATTGGTGTCTCGGGCTAGGATGCGATATGGAAAGGAGTATGTATTATTCGCTATAGTATACATTGACCTACTCAGGTCAATAATTGTGAAAAAACTGATAATTCAAGCTGATGATTCATTTGCATTTCATGACATACTATCAATATTAATTCACTATTAGGATTTTCTTTTTTTACATCTTCATCTCAACAGGTTAGACATTACAAAAAAAAATCTTTTGAGCAGTAAACTATTTCAATAAACAATAAAACAAACCTAATCTCTTCAGAAAAGAGGACAGGCTTTCACCTACATTCACTTTTTTATGTATATTTTCCCTCCATATCATCGTCATGCATATGATTAAGGGTTATGCTATTCGCTACAATATGTTCTGATGAGGATATCCTTCATGAATAATCGGATAAGCTGAGACTGAAGACACTTTTTGTAAAAATATCGATGCTTTTATCAAAGTTTTGAACCAAAAATATTTAATTTATACCTTGCCATAAGTCGTAAGTTCCAAAAAAAACAAGAGTTGGCTCCCAAAAGTCAGAAAACACATGTGGTATTCAAACCGGATGTTCTACAGTCTGAATTTAATTACGAAACCATGTTCGGTGTAACTATTATCATCCGGATAATTTGAGCGGGGTTTAAAATATTTTTTTTTTTTAATTCCGAAAAGTATTCATTTATACATAGAGAGAGAACATACACATGGAGCATACATTTTAATAAACATGATAAAAGGCGAAACGTCTCAAATTTACAACATACAGCATGTACATGCACGGTGCCTTCATAATATGTTATGCTATATCAACGTCTCAAATTTCTCTCTCTCTCTCTCTCTCTCTCTCTCTCTCTCTCTCTCTCTCTCTCTCTCTCTCTCTCTCTTTCTTTCTGCAATATATACACTTAACAATTTAAAACTTAGTATCCAACTTTTCAAAATGGCGTCAGGACAAAAGTTGCCTCCGATAGTGAAGATTTGTTGTTGCCAAATATTACAACTATTTACCGTAAAAAGTTAACAAAAATATACGTACACTAATCCTTCATCGTTGGCCATTGCATTTATCACAGTCTTAAAGACACTGGGCGGTGAAACCATCTTAACTTTTCACATTTACCAGCTGCTTACACCTTCTTCTTCGTCCTTCTCGATCCTCCAAAAATGGCGCCTCGGGAAATTGACCAATGAAATAAAGCGCCTACAGAGCGATGCAGGATGGGAAATATAATCTGTTTACATTCACTATGATTAAGTGTGATTATGAGATCTTATATTAGAATTTAATTAAGTTTTCCCCTCTTCATGGAATAAAAAGAGGGGCTCCTAAATATTTTTGCCGATATGATGTGTAGGCCTAGTATATTTAGAAAAAAAGCGGTTAAATACATGAGGCAAGAGCAGAAAAAAAAAATGTTTCTTGTTTGACACCTCAACTTATTTGCCTTCGGGATATGGGTTTCGGGGCTTGGTTGTTGGTAGTGGCCGTCCTTGCTGAAAGTACCCCCCCCCCCACATACACACACCTCTCCCCGCTTCTTTTAACTGTTACATGTATGATTATGAATTTATAATGTCACACCAAAAGATGTTAAATTTTTAAAAGCACATTTTTTTTTATTGTGAACTTTCCACAGGAATCCTTAAAGGCATGAAAATAAGCTACAATTATAATATGATTATCAAGAACAGTTTTTTTATTTCAATAGTGATGATTGAAAAGTTCGGTGTTTAATTCATTGCTAATAAATTGTTGTGTTTTTTTTTGGGGGGGGGGGGATTAAATTACTAATCGAACTCCCTCCTTTTCGGGGTTTAATTAGATTTTGAGCCTGCTAGACTTTTCTTTAATTGCTACATGTACATTGTACTTTAACATGTTTAAACTCTTTGGCCTTTAGCTAAAAAAATTTCCCAAATCATTTTAACACGTAAAATTGTTAAATGAATCAGAATGTTGAAAACCTTTTTCTTAGGAGAGTTATATCTCTAGCTGGAACAAAACTAACATCTCATCAAAGGCAGGAAATATAACAGTATCTTAATTCAATATTTTAGTCGTGATTGGTATAAGTGAAGTCATGGGAAAGATTATGTCGAAATTCATCTATACTCGTTGATGTGCAGGGCTGTACTTATGCATACAGCTTTAGCTGGTCCCGCCCTGTATTTCTTTTGATGTTTTTTTTTCGTTAAGAAATCTGGTAAGGTATGCTAGTAAAAATAAAATCCCGGTTAGTTTATTACTCCTTCGGAAATTACTTTCCTACACGTAACAGGCCTGAAGATCGAGTCTATTAGTCACGCAAGGTTTTTTTTTTATAAAAAGAGTAGCATGTCGGCGAATAAAAATAAAGTAGTGTACACCATAGATAAAGAAATGTTTGTTTGAGTATTGACAAACTTCATACCTTTATAGAATGAAATCAACAAAAACTGCACAAAAATACAATCGTGACAATTATACAATGAATTAATTATACAATTAATTCTTTTAATAGATTGCCTTAGCATGCACTACTTTAAAAGCCATTGTTCTTATGGAAAACAAAATCATGCAAAATATTATAGACTTTTCTTTATCTAGAGCAATGGCCTTTGGAGAAAAAAAAAATGGCTGAAAATTTTTTAGTTTGTTAAATATAATGTATGTGCATTTAGGACCCTACATTGTAATTTCATGCGAAAAGTGCAGGCGTTTACTACACAGGGATCTGCGTACATATTTAAACAAAAAAGGGGGAAAAACGTTTTATGTGATGAATTATATTATAAACATTTATCTAATAAATGTCTTTGTAGTACGTTAGATTACAAATTTCACACAAAAACCCATCAACAATATTAAATACAGTTTTGATTTCACATTGATCTATTAACGTCATTCTGATTTAATATAATTATACACAACGAGAATTAAGATCTATTCAATACCTATAGAAAATTATTTAATTTCTAAAGAGGAGAGTTTTATTTTAAATCAGTAATGAAAATTGAAATAAAAATTCTAAATAGTTTGTTCTTTCATTGAACTTCTTAAATGTAGGTTATTTTATAAATATGTTCTCTTGTATAACTTTATTTATGGAATATACAATTTTTTAAATGATAAAAGAAATTCGAATCATCATCTTAATTTAAGAGAATTTTCGGTCGGAGACTGTGTGTGTACATGCTCGACAACAGCCCATTGTTCCCTTTAGGTACAAAACCGTCTCAATTCACATAGAATATACAAAAAATACACAGTGACAGGTGTCTTCGCGGCACGTGTCTCCACCTGATATGGCACGTGAGGACAGGTGTCCCTAATTACACAGGCCGACCATAGTGACTTTTTGAAAAGCGTTTTTTTTTTGGGGGGGGGGGGGGCTTCTCAAGAAAAAAAATAAAAAGCAACCCACCCACCCCAATAATAAAAACAATGATTTAATAAATTAAAAAAGACAATATTCATTATTAATAGTAAAATACTAGCATGATAATACTCAGCCCCAAGCCAATTCGATGAATGATTCTTATCTGACCAGTTTATATTAATATATTAATTCATATTAAAACAAAATCTTTATCAATTTCTAAACTTGTATTTAAAAACTTGAAACACTAAAAATGTAATTTTGACAAACCAATTGAAGTATTTTTTTCCTGACCAATTACCCCGGTATATAAGAAATGCCAACCTCTGGTATCTAACACAAATGCCTGGTAAGGTACCTTGATGTCTTGTGAATACATGTAATTATGTAAAAATAATTCTTCAATGTCAATTGCAAAATATTGGAAAAAAATTAATTATTTTATTGAGGAACGTCTCACCTGTCCTTAATCAGTAATCGTAACTTGACATATTTCTTTATTTACTTTTTAATCGATCTTTTTAGTAAACCTTTTCTGTAAATAATTTCATTAAATGTACCCTTCCTTAGCTCTTCCATTTTTTTCAAAGGAACATTCATCATAGTCAGCTTCAAGAAAGTGGGATCGGAATGATTGATTTCTACATAACTGCATGCACTTACTTTTTCCTATTCCACTTCACGCATTCTACACGAGTTTACCAAAACTTATGTGATAAATCAAATTCAAAATTAAATTAAATTAAATAAAATTCAGTTAAATAAAATTAAATTAAAATTGAATTGCGTTCACGGTGCTGAAATATTAAATTAATCACACAGAAATACACATCTAGTTATTTTAACTGTTTGAAGTTAATTATTTTGATACAGCATGTAAACACTTTTGAAATATTTCTATAATTGGTAAAAATATGGTAACATAATTAGATACTTAACTTTTTGTAAAATAAAAGGTAGGTTGGTTAGTATTGAGATATACTTTCAAAGTTTCCCTGCCTGGGAAACATGGGGAAAACTATACATTGGTGGCTTCCATGTCGGGAATCTGTATGGAAACCACTAAGGCATGTTTACATGGTTTCCTATCTTGGGAAACTTACGGGAAACCACAGGTTGGTTGTTTCCATATCGGGAATCTATATGGAAACCACCGGGGCATGTTTCCATGGTTTCCTATCTTGGGAAACTTACGGGAAACCACAGGTTGATTGTTTCCATGTCGGGAATCTATGTGGAAACCACTATGTGGTTTCCATAAAATGGAAACTATATGGAAACTACAGATGTCACGATTCCCATATGTTTCCATCGGGTTTCCAAATTTGGGAAACCTGGCTTTTCATCCTGTGTGCCCTTCTTTGATCTCTTTTTCTTTTCAAATCCAAGAAAAATAGGAAGACAATTTAACCAAACTTACACAACATCAAAAACCTTTTTTTATTTTGAAAAATATATGCACATTGTAAGATAAAGGCTACATCAATTGTCAAAAATGGAAAAAATTGTAACAACTTCATTAACATGCTACAAAATATTTAATAACAGACTGCCGCAATCAAAAGCAAGAATACATTTAATTAGATTTAAAAAAAGAATTAAGGCCATGGCAACCACAGAGTGTATGACACAGGGGGAGCTATTTCTGTCTGGATCATAAAAACAAAATAAATACACATAAACAACCCACAGATAATGTGAAAAATATAACTAAATAATATCTACACTGAACAGTCCAGAAAACAAAGATACAGCAAAAGCCTGGTAAAACTGGTGTAAAGCAGATATTTCACAGCTATAGGACAACTTCACAAACCTGATTTCACAAGTTTGCTTGCATGTTATTTAGCTTATCTTCTTTCATATCAAAACTTAATGGTGATATAAGTTAATTCTTGATTTGGAGCATGGTAAAGCTAGGTGTAATGTGCTGTGGCTTTTTTACTACAAGGAACAAGTTTGATTACTGCAGAGGAAATAATTGTTGTCAAAAAAAAATTCTGTGAGAAATACATGGGTGTAATTCATAGGTTTGTGTGAGAGGCTTGTTCTAGTCCCAACATGCCTCTCTGTGATCCAGATATTGCATGGATGATGATGTTTGGTACAAGATCAATTGTTTGATAAACTGCATTTCAGCAAAACCTTGGAACACTGTTGTAAAATGTACGGTATATTTTTCAAATGCTACCAACACTTAACAATATTCTTAATTACCATAGGCAGTAGGTGAGATTCTCTTACATGGATATTGCCCTCAAAAACACTCCATATTTTTTTTTACACATCTGTACTGAAACGGGAAAAAAGCACAAGGCAAACGAGAGTTGTCGTTGACATGAACAGTTTCAAGACAAAATCAAGGATTGGTGATAATATGTGTAACAAAATAAAACAGGAAATGTGAGACAGGACAAAACCTTGCTAAATACTATACTTATCATACAATGAAATAAATAATATGTCAGCTTTTAAAAATATATTTGACAAGAACAAAACAGGGTAATGAAATACATGTTCATGGCTTAATCTTGATTCAAAAGTTAATTTATACATGATTTTATTTCAATGAATTGGTGAATAATGTTAAAAAGGAATTAGGTCATGGATAAGACAATTGACTAGCAGTGATTAAAATAAATTGTTCCTCTTACAACTGTGAAACCAGCAGATACAAGTCAAAATAAAGTCATCTAGTACCCTGGAATACTTATACATACACACTGGAAGATATATTTACAATCTGCCTACCTCAGGACTATTGCAATACTGAACACATTTAGTCGACAAGTAATCAAGGATTTATTGCCTATTGTAAATATCAACTTCTTCAAAATTGATGGATAATAACAATCAATTGCAGTTGTCTGCCCTTAGACCAATAAACATTTGAATCCAAGCTGGTGCTCCGAGTCCAACACAACAATTGGATTTCTAACTGAATGATTTCTCAAGTAAACAGAATAAGAACCTACAGGTGTACATAATATCAGAAACCAGTATGTTCTCAATTCATGGATTCTCAATTCCCAAAATATCTTGATGTTTCAAAATGGACACAAGAAAATATGTACAAAGTGGAATTTTTAGCCGATACTTTTCTTTGGAATGTTGACATTTTTACAGAGATGAGAGACAACAAGATTCTTACCAGACAAGCACTAACAAGTGTAATTTTAATGCTGCTCAATAAATGTATGATGTTTAATTGAGACATACATCATAAAAATTGTAAAATTAACTAAAACAAACACAAAAACAAAAATAATTCATCATCATACACTAGAAAATTTAAAAAAAAAAGTGTGAGCCAGCCACTAGACACTTATAATTCAACATGACAATGCATCTTACAATTTAACATCATGCTTTATAAAACTGAGGACTTTTCCCAGTCTATTTATAGATCTGTGACCTGGTACCGGGTGGCCCCTGACTTCGTGGATGGGACTTGTGGTCCAGGTTGAGGATGGTAGGAACTTCCGTCGTATCGATTGGAATAATTATAATTCCCTCCTCCATTCATCATCGCGGGAGAGGCGGGGCCCGGAGAGGGGGAATCTGATTTAGACAGGGGAGGGGCCCGGGAGGGGGGTACATTCTGGGGATAGGACTCTAGAGAGGCGGGTGTGACAGCTATGCTGTTGCGTTGTTTGCCGTCTTTGGTGACTCTATTCTGGATGTTCTTGGTCACCGGGTCATAGAAAAAGTGCTCATCTGGGAACTGACTCTTAAGTCTGGTGATGTGACATCCGTGACAAAACAGGTGATTATCCAGTGGATAACAGCGCTTATCCGCTTCATCCGTCAGCTGTAGACCGCAGTCCTGTCAACAAAAACAACCACTTATATGTTAGATGTAAAACTCAGAGCTCTGTTTTAAATTGTGCAACTATCAAGTCCTAATTATAATATACATCATCAAAGTGCCCTCTACATTTCACTATCACCAAAGCAAACCAATTTCTCCACGTAAAAAGACAGTATTTCATTTTTCCATTCAAGCTTTTCTGTATAGCCTACTATTATCTATTTCGTATGTGTTAAAAATTTATTTTCCTAACATGCAAACCATTTTAGAACCAATCAGGTCAAACACACAGATGGCATGCTGAAGTTTGACAAAGGTTTTTTTAACAGAGAATATGTATTTATCATTTTTGCATGTTTTTCTTTCTGCTATAAAATATTTCCATCCTGCCCGTATCACTTTTTGTGGAGCAGATGTAATATTTATGAGTATTTTTCTAAAGCATCATGAATTTCTTAAAAAGCAAAACATTTTGTTATTCCTTGCACACTTACAAATGCAAAAATTTAGTAAAGAGATGTTATTTTCCATAATCTTTTGATTAACGCAACAGTTTCTCAATGTGTGAACACTGTTCATGAGAATGGAATTCAATTACATGTATAAGTAAGCCTTAAACTTGCTTTTTTTTTCTCTCTCTCTCTCTCTCTGCAGCAAGTTGAGCTTTAGTCACACAAGTTAAAGTTTAAAGCCAAGATGATTGGTCAAAAGCGGAACCGCCCATGCTGTTCTGTGTTCGTCTACACTACATGCATCATCAGTACTCTACTTACAACAATGAACAATGTGTTAAAAAATCTAACCCCCACCCCCACCCCATTTTTTTATGGGAAAAAAAACTATAACAAAGAAATATACAGCAGGAAACATAGGTTTCTATTTTTTGTGGAATATTAAAAACATGGAAAAGTTAAAATGCCTTTATGAAAAATCACAACAATTAAAAATGAAATTACATATATACTACATTAATCACAAATTAAAAATGTGTCAAACCACTGCAACCAACCAAAAAAAAAAGGAGCGAGTATGATGATGCAAAAACAAATATAAATTCACTGAAAGCTTAAAAATGAAGATGCTTACTCCTCAATGTTTCTGTTTTACCATGTCTATGTCTCTGATTGCTAAAATTTAAAAAATTTCACCATGGCAACCATTTGCTACATTTAAATGTATTCATGCACCAATTTAAATAATTGTACCGCATACTGAAAGCACTGAATAAAAGCTGGGGTAATAGTATAGAATAATACTGGTTTTGTTGACAACAAGTATCTTTGACTCTTAAATACCAAATATTTACTTTGATAAAGGGAGGTAAGTCAGACAGTCTTGTTTACCTCACAATGGTAACAGTCCACGTGGAAGTCTTTGTCCATTGATACAACTCGGACTGTCTCCTCTGTTCCCTGTCAAATACAAAATAAAAAACGCTAGAAGATAACACATTCACTGAGAAAAATGTAAATGGTACATTACAGAGTATGTGATGTACAAAAACATATTTTTTTATACAAGTGAAGTCAGAGTCAATTCAAGTCTATAGCTTGAAAGAACAGACTGAAGAAGTCATTTAAGTGATAACTGCTTTTTTTTTAAATTATTATTTTCCACATTATTTAAGCCCATTATTTTAGAAAACTTCAGTGTTTGGTTTACAATACAGATGCCGGTTTAAGAATTCTTTCAGCAAATGATTTTTTTCACATTTATAATGATAATCATCTCAATGAATTATTTATTTACTACTACATAGAAAAAAGTCTTTCATTTCTTTGAGAACTATTACATGTAGTATTTTGACTGGTAGATTTATTGTTCTAAATTTTACACTATTTTTTTTTTTTTTTTACATTTAGATGATAACAGAGATAAGTATTTTTTTTTTACTTTTGTAACTTTCCTGTTCAGTTTAACAAAAAGTTTTTGTTTAAGGGATTTTTTTCTTTTTTTTATCTAAACAATTTTCAAATATATGTGTCAAGAGAACAGGATACAATGTCAGAATATCTCTTTGAACTCAGTGGTATGAAATTGTCTTTACATTTTCTCTCGCAACAGATATTGAATATTTTGTTTTTGTTCAGATCAATCGTTTCTGCTTGATTGGCTTATCAATCACAAACAATGAGAGGAATTCTTTTAAGTGTTACTGGGAGACTATTTCACATCTGAACATTATGGAATACTTATATCTGACATGGTTTAATGTAACACTTTTTAGCAAGATCTTGACAGGACATGCTGACATTCCTCTCATGTTTTGTATCCTAGTTGTGTATTGTCTTATTGGCGGGGTCTCGTTAGAGACCTGAATGAATGAAAGTAGACAATGAGGAGAAAGGGAAGTCCCAGCATTCCTCAGTCAAGTACCAAAAAAAAGACTTCCTTTTTACAGGGCCAAGGTTAATGTACCACGGAGGTTAACTGCAATGGATAAATACTAACTCAACATTCATTTCAAATGAATGTCTCTCTAATTTCCATGTGACAGACCATGTGACCAATTGCTTAAGGATCATGGGACTTCTTGTCTGAAGTTCCTCATTTCAAATCCTTAATCTTTTTTCTTCCTATCAATCCTTACAAGTTAATTTGTTAAATGTAATTTTTTTTAACAATTATATCAGTACAGTTGTAATTCATTATCCATTTCTCTAATTTTCCCACCATTCCACCCTGCAGAATTTTAGATCCTCCGACTTACCTCTACTGGGGTGATTGCCTGGCCACATGCGGCACACTTGGGAGCATACACTCTGAAAAATAAATAATCACGTTCAATTCCAAGCACGTGTTACAGGAGAAACTCTATATCTTCATCATAAAAAAAGCTTCATGCCATTTTACTTTTTCTGTGGAATGCCATTCTCACTCTCTCACAGGAAATGAAAGACACAGGGAAATCTGGTCTTCATCAAACAACTTTTTTTAAACCCTCTGTTTATGAAGACACATACCCCAATTTTTCCCTTCTTGTTTTTAAATGAAGCACTTTTTGACACTAAATCTGTTTTTAATTAATATTAACTGCTTGAGTATTACAACAAAAAATTTAAAAACATTAATTTCGTTTCAATGATGTCAAGATAAAAGTTCTCTTTCTCAGTATATGACTAATGGTATCTCATGCATTTCTGCTATAAAACTCTCTTCACGGTTTTGTAATCTGATAGGTAATTGTGCAGTGACAAATTCATGATCACCGTAAATTTCTTTGATGACGGGCTCTTATCTACCTGAGCACTGTTTTTTTTAGTGATTGTGTCACAGCGCAGAGATCCTATTACTAACCACAATATAACATTTTTGACACTAGAAGAAGACTGTCAAGGCTAAAGGGTCAACGTTTCCATATTAAGTATAATATTAACATGTCTCTTCAAACCACAAAATCATCATTCAAACAGCTCTAATTAAGTGGAACTAAAAAATAAAATTCCGTTCAACTACATTCCACCCGATTGACTTGACATGATATATGCAGTAATATTTGATTTTTAGTGTGTAATCTCATTGCATGCATGTACAGGTCCTCTTATTTTTATATCATGTAGTAAGCATTAAAATTTTATCAGGATAAATTGAATATTACAATAACAGTTAATTTTTAAGACGTGGCTTTAAATGAGCAAATTAAAACTTTTCAAGTAAGTACAATGAAATGATGCCAGACAAGCCTCCTAGAATTGTCGCCAGTGTGTTAGGTGGTACTTAACCTAATGGGCCACGACAGCAAGCATCAACTCAGAATTACTCTGATCATTAGCCGCTTTATGAAAAACTGCTGAATTATTGCAATTGAGAGCTCTTGGCGTCAGTTTATTTGAATTCGGTCAACTTCGACATAAAAAATAACAGATCACATAAGAAAATAACAGATTGAAAGTCTCGCATGACTTCTCTACTTCCCAAAAATATTCATCATCCTATAAATTTCTAAAATTATTTCAACCCCAAATCACTGTATATTTATCACAAGGCTATATGTAATTTAGGGAAAATTCTTGACACACCTATTTTTTAACAATATATCTTGTATCAGTGCACACATCACACTACTCTGTGGTATGACTATACAGTGTGTATCTATATGATCTGAGATGTCATCTCGTTTCCCCATGCAGAAATGACTAAGAGGGAACATACATCTCTGTTTATACTACTGTCAGTGGAGTTATACTGACTACCTGCCATACCTGTATAAAGCCTTACCTGTGTCAGGTGTAATAGACTTGATCTTTACAAGTCACAGCCTCGGATAATTTAATGACCGGCCTAGCGGAGCTTGCCGTCTCTCACACTTTTTTATCATTCATAAAGAGCCTACAATTATCTTTTATAAATCAGAGAGCTTGAAAAAATGGCCCCAAAATGTATTGACACTTAGCCCTGTTCATCATTGATTGCTCTTATTTCCCATTAACCTGTCTGCCCCTGTGTATAATTGTATCCTCTCAGAAAATCAGGTATTTATAGTATGCATCATTTAATATAATAACTAGACTCTGTTATTTTTTATGAGTATAATGAGTTAACTTCGCCAAGAATCTTATTCTCCTCGGATGACATCAGTGTTTATTTATAAACAGTCAAAACAACACGCGTTGTGATTGGTTGTTTATTTCAATGTCAAGGTTCTTTGCCATCTTGCATACACATCCTAACATTTAAACATGGCATACACATGTGGAAGGAAAAACAAATCAAACTGTGGGAATACTTGTTTTGAATGTTTCAAATGTTTGAAACATCATCGTTTGGGCTATAAACTTATTTTATTTTACATTTATTACCATTTAACAAGCTTGTTCTGTGCATGAATAAAATATATATGTTAATGTGTCTTAAAAATAGTACTTTCAACAATGACTTTAATCATATCATACCTTGTATATATAAAGTTGTTTTATAAATTCCACACTGAAGCACTAATTAAAACTAAAGGAGATTTCTCAAATGTTTGTGAGAAAATTCTCTAGATTTCAACCGATATACGGGTGCATGTAATATAATCGTGCACGTTATTTTTTATGAGTATAATGAGTTAACAAAAAGATGACCTTGGCCCATAATTTACTTCTGAGTTGACAGTTAATAACCACTATCAATATAAATTCATCTGTCAGTCGTAGACAACAACTGTCAAAATTCAAAAAACTAAGAAAAAGTTTACAATTACTGTCAATACTAAACTATCATCACCGAGATGATATTAAAAATTTATGTGTAAGACCTAAGTACAACCACTGAATAATTAACCATGACTCTCCAAAATATAGATCTACAGTGACTAGTTTCTTGTTATTGTATGCAGAAATCATGTAAACCAGGGAAGAGCTTTCCTCCTTTCCTCCAAGACATTTGGTTTATATCTTTTCTATCTATTGGCAAGATTGAGGACCCACCCAATACTACTCAGCCTCTCTGGTAGGACTGAGTTTTATTTAGTGTATAGATTGGAATGTACCTGTGATAGTCAGCTATAGATCTAGTTTTAGTTAGTGTATAGATTGGAATTTACCTGTGATAATCAGCTATAGATCTAGTTAGTGTATATATTGGAATGTACCTGTGATAATCAGCTATAGATCTAGTTAGTGTATATATTGGAATGTACCTGTGATAATCAGCTATAGATCTAGTTAGTGTATATATTGGAATGTACCTGTGATAGTCAGCTATAGATCTAGTTAGTGTATACATTGGAATGTACCTGTGATAGTCAGCTATACAGTAGATTTTGTTGTCCACATCGATGGTAAATGGCACTCCATCCAGACATTCGTTACACACACAACACCTGAAGCAGCCCGGGTGATAGGCTTTCCCCATCGCTTGTAATATCTAAATAAAAAAAAAACATAAAATCATCAGAGAATTCATTAAACTATAAATTTAACATATTTTATATTTGGATTTGAAAAATTCTTTGAAGTGCAAAGAAAGTTTTAACTAAGCTTTAAGAATGTTTTTTATTAAAGGGAGCAAGAACACAACAATGTCCAGCTCTTGAAACCTTGTAATTTTGACTTTTTTGGGCGGCATGAATGCAGTTATTATGATCTGGGGTGTCAAGCTTTGAATCTAAATACAAACACAATTAATATCACAAATATCTCAAGTCTGTAGCCCGGGATTATTTCTGAAAAGTAAATATGCTCAGGTGATTAAAAATGCCGTTTTACATTTACTAAATTGAACAATTTGTTATCCTCGTTCCTTATATCTTGACCCCACTCTTCATGAAGTTGTCGATGTTTGCTTTTTTTAAGAACACCTGGAGAATCTTGGCAGCTATTGAACATGATAGAGGGTAATACATCGCCGACGAGAATCAATTTCTGCACAGTTTTATATAAGACGTAAAACAGTTAAACACCCACCATCTCCATGATCAAGTGGCCACAGACACAACACTTCTCCGCAGTTTGTTGGAAACCAGAATACTGAAAAAGATAGACATTCATACAACTCAGGATTAATGGAGTTACTTTATTTATAATAATCACAAGAAATTCTTTAACCAAATGTAAAATGTTTCTTTCTTTATATACATTCTAAAGTGTTCCAACTTTTGGCTCAGTGGACTCTTACAAGATTGAAGAGGTTACTTCTGAATTACACATGAGCTCAATTGTAAATCAGTTATTTAAAAATACACACTTATAAATCTTTATATGGAATGTTTTTATCTCCTGTAATGTTGAAAGCTAATTTTTATTTAATTGTACTCTTTAGGAATGAATAAGAAACCCCATTTTCCTAGATAATTTATTCTCCACATGGATAAAATTATGCAATATCATGTTGACAAAATTCAATGCATCCATCACTTATTTCACAGATGATAACTATGTTTAGCAAATTAAAAAGGGCTGATTGTAGGAATGCAGTAGAATTTTTGGACTACTGGAATTTGACCCTGTAAATCCATCACAATGCTGAGCTGGATCAGCACTGACTGTGTAATTATAAGCTGTTGTCTCTACTGCTATGAAGTTATCACCTTTATAGGTGACATTAGGTAACAATGGCAGCATTGTGGTCCACACACAAGATAGCATCACATATAGACACAATCAGCCAGTTCAAAACCCTCTTTGTGAAATTTAATGTCCAGGGTGTACTTTTAAACCTTTTGTAGCTTGAGATTTGTGGAGCAATGGATTACAGAAATCTCAGACAAGAGATTACAGTTCTACGATGTATCTGATAAGTCAGATATGTTATCGGCACAATTACAGACCTATACTGAAAGACTTCAGATAGGAAATAACTAAGTAATTAACACTGGGGAATTCTAATCAGTTCCTTGACACGTTTTATAAAGAGGTTATGGTTGATATGTAAACAGCCATCTTCTGCCTGCTGCACCTGAAAGGTGAAGCTGTCAGGGTCACTCGAGTGTTTGATTTGTCTTCCACCGACCCTTTGATGCGCTTTGTCTTGAAGGACTGAGGTGTCAATATCACAATTAAAACCCTTCAACGTTAGATTTGTCTAACGCCTGCCATTAATTCCGCAACATAACCTCCCTATTCAGATAATCACATAGCATGGGTGCATTTTCTAAATACTTTTAAAATATTTTCACGTTCAACATCCAATAATTAAATCTCTCCATGAAAGTCATCAGAGACTTCAACTAGTTCATTTTAAAAATTGTACTTCTTGGGGAATAGATTTGCAATATAAAAAGAAAAAACTTTGTTCTCGAGTTTGACCATGGATGACATTTGTTAATAAAATATAGTTCAATTTCAATATTTAAAACAATGAATAAATTCTCTAATACGTTGTTCCAAGAACAGAAGAAGAAGACCTTGGACTGAACAACAGTTTGTTATGGTCCCTACATGAGATGCATGTTAGATGGTCATGGCGAGATACTTTTGACTTTGCACCGCGATGTATATAGATACTTTTGACTTCTCGTAGGGATGTAATCAGAGGGGTTTGTACTTTGTGGAGTAACAGAACTGACTTACCAGATAGTCCTCTTCACAGTACACCTTCCCGTGGACATTGTAGAAGGCCTTCCCCCTCAGCGTCCGTCCTACAATAACCAAATCACATGTTAACTAGGAGCCAATATTACTCTTATAGCCTAACAATCAGTAATTACCTTTTTAAAGTGATGCAGAGGAAATATTACACTTGGGATCCTCAATCATTTCATGTTGGGCTCAATTTTCTTACTAAAAGCTTTAAAATCAGGTTATTTAATACATCAAATATCTCAATTATTGCTGTTTTTTTCGGTCAATAATGCTTTGTTCAATATTCACCAAGCCCGAAGGGCGAGGTGAATATGTACTTCGAAGATGGCTAAGACCTTGTATTGACTGAAAAAACAGCAATAATTGTTTTATTACATGATTCACTGATAAAATGATACAGCTCATTGCTTGTTTGCATTTTATTAAATCCTAGCCAAATACAAGAGAGAAGCACAATTAAAATGTGAATAAACCTTACCAGTCGTATCAATTTGGAATGTTTTTTTATCAATTTTCGTTGCCATGAAAAATATATAATGTGAGTCTTTTTTATAGGATAGATTTTGAAAGGAAGGAGTATTATCAAGGAAAACTGACTGCCAAAAAGTAAAAAGAAAATTGTTGTTCAGTAAAATTAAGTGTTGGAGGGGGTTTCCTGCATCCCCTCTTACCACACTCACCTAAAATATATAAATTCGCTTATGTTTTGTTCACATGAAAAAACAAATCATAGTCGTTTAAATAGCTTTCCAAAACAATTTGTATCAATTTGGAATTTCCCAATCTATTTTTAGATCAATGTAGAGGAAATAAATCCTTGTATTGACCTGGAACATCACGTGCAGGTCAATACAACGTAGTATTTTTCTAACATAGTTGGATCTCAGCCAATCAGAGAGATGGAAATTATTCAATCATGTAATAAAATCAATTATTAAGATTTCAGTACATGTAATATCATCTGTGTTTCACTAGCACTGCACAGAGACTCCCATGACAAAAAAACACTTTCAAAATTGCCTTGTTACAAATTTTTGCAAACTGTAGTTATGTTCCCCAAACGAAGTTGGGGAACATATTGTGTATTATTATTATTATTATTATTTTTCTTCTTCCTGGGAAAATCTTTTCTGATCTTGTAAACTACACGTCCGGAAACCTTTTTAGGGTCATTGTTATGTAGATTTGCGAACGGCGCGCACGTGCTTGCAAGAGCGCGCACGTGCAACGCGTGAAATGACCAAAATAATAGATACAGCCGTAATTTTTCTATTTTTTGATTAAATGCTTTGATACTCATAATATAACCATATTATCACATGTTAAAATAGGAGTGCCAATATTAATATCTTTCTTGTTTTTCCATAATCCTTTGAAATTTTGAACTTAGTCACACAATATGAAGATCTACAGCTTGATATATAATAATTTTCATGAAAGCACGTACATGCGCGTAAGAGCGCGCACGTACCTTTACCAAGATAATGGATAAAGTGAACTTTTCTATTTCTTGCCCACAATGCATGAATATAGTAGTAGTATGGACAAGATGACATGGTCAAAATTGCAATCATTTCATGTGCGCTTTGCAGTGATTGGCTGAAACTAAAAGAAATTTTGAACTTTAAAATCATGAAGTTATTTAAAGCACATAAATCCACATCAAATATATCTTTCTTGTTTCTCATCAATTAAGATTTCAGTACAAAATTGTAATATCATCATGTGTTTCGTTAATGGTTTAGACAACATTTCATGATCACCTTGCATGTGCATGACGCTCGAACAATGTGTTAAATGACAAAAAGTTGATATCACTTTCAAAATTGCCTTTTTACAAATTTTTACAAACTGTAGTTAGTGTAGGACATTGCAAGGACATTACAAGCTTTGGACTTGATATTACCACCAGGCTTCAAATGATAACTCTTATATACACCCAATCAACATCAATTCAAATCATTTTATCTGTTTTACATTTAAGCTTCGGTTATAATTGAGTTATGTTTTAGGATACTGTCCATTAGGTACAGACGTACGATAAGGCTGAGCTGACCACTTTAGTACAGGATAGTACACTTAAGACAATGACTCTGTGGTAAGTAGGGAAGACACGGTGTACAAGGACGTACTTAGGGAGTCAGATAGGGATGTCCTGTCGTCTCCGCATTTCCCAAAAGTTTGACAGAATACCAACAGACAATGGTCTAAAGAGGATCACAAGGATGTACTTAGAACCGGATCTGGTACTACACTCACCCCCCTTACTGCTGAATAACTACAGCGTGAATCACAGTCCTCCACTTCTAACAGAGAATGGAGGAACTTTGTATACACACAACAAGGTTTTCTGCTCCATGAAAGTATTCTTGTGTATGATCAACTTGTGTTTGTACAATCAAAATGGGTGAGAGAATTTAAACTGTGCACACTACTTATATTTTATCTTTACTTCTAGCATTTGAGCCGAGTTGAGGAAAAATCCGAAAATTTCACGAGGTTAACATATAATTTGTCATCAGCATGATTGATTGTTCTATCATACAAAGACAAATGCCAAGCATTTTTTCTCCTTTTAATCAAGTCCTTTGATATTTATTTTTTTTTAAAAAACTCATATTTGTTTATCAATGTGCAATCCCCATGGATGAACTCAACTAAAAGGTGCCTTGCTAACTCTCGTCATGGCTTATGGAGACAGAAATTGAAACTTTTATCTTTAGTATAAATCAATTTTAAAATGCAGTTATTTATTTGAAAACTTGTTTTAATAGTCTATAAAGTTGCATTTACAGTAAATTGCTTTTAAATCCAGCTTAACTCTGCAGTGAAAATAACTGGCAGCCAATGATGCATACATTGAACCTGCCTCGAGCGTTCTCCCTTTGTGTTCCTATGGGATAAGATATTGTACCTCCAGAACAGATTTGATCCCAAGTGCCACTATCAATAAATAACCCATTCCTTTATTATTTTTTGCTCTGGTGTGAGTCACAGAATAAGAATTTTTGGGGTACACTGCAAAAAGCTACCTGTTCTGTTGTGTGATGTTTGCTTTTATGCCATGATAAAGTGCGCTGTTTATTCTATAGCATTGTGGAATGCCTGGGTCTTCATTTGAATATTCCAAGCAACAGTTGGGAACAAAGAAATTCGGGGTTTATCACCCCACCATACACAGGAAGCCAAACTGAATCACCAATCAAACTGGGACTACTTTTTTGAAGGAAGACAATTTGTCGACCACAAAAAGGACGGAGCTCGTATAACCCCACAATTTCTCCACAACTGACTGCACAGCAAAACACCACCATCTAAAATAATTATCACATTTATATCTTTTTTAGTATTTTTTCTTCTTTTTTTTTTTAACATTAATCAATCTGGCTGTGAAGTACGGCATTTAACAGATGTATACATTTATCTCTTTTTATTTACTTCTCAACTTAATGTCAACTGATTCCGTTAAAATGGTTCTTGAACCTTGCAGGTTAAATTTACCAAATAGTCCACTACATGTAAACTGTCTCCTGTATAGTTGTGTACATGAAGTCTGTCTTGTCCATCTGTCTGTCTGTTTGTCTGCTTACAACAATTTCTCCTCTTCAACATTAAGCTGTATCTAATTACTTGGTCTCCTGACCTTAGGAAGCTGGTACATGTACTATCTATCTTTTAAGTAGTGAGACTACTCTAGACATTCCAATGGCCCGAAGATCACTTTATTTTGCTACTCGAACTTATTATTTGCAAGATAGTTATTTAGTATTTATAAGTGAGATAAAATTCTGTTAACTCTGTTTTTTGTTGCATATAATTCTAAATTATAGAATATAGACATAAGAATAAAATTTTTTGCTAACAAGAATACTCATGTTATTACTAGAAAATAAAGTTCTTGAGCATAAGACACGTAAAAAGTGATTTATAGTATTACCGGTAAGCACAATTCCACTTTTGAATGCTTATTCTATTTAGTTACTCTAAGGAGAATCATTATATTCTTATTTGTATACATGTCAAACACTTAGAATATAAATTAAATAACTTTATTTGAAAATTCAAAACTTCCCAAATTTATATAATAAATAGAAAATTATTTATTTGCAATGAAACCAAAGCTGTGTAATATGAGATTCTCTTCAGTCATCACTGAGTTAGATCAATCAGACCCGAGCAGGGACACTGGCTTGATAATACACTAGGAGGGATTCCATACATAGCCAACTGTAGTTCTGTTGTCAAGCAAACGTCAACACATCAAGCTACACAGACTTAGGGTCAGGTTCTCTGTCCATCACTCGGTGCTCTAACCTAGATAACATAATAATTACGGGGCACGCGCTAAATAATCCTCATCTCCGATTAACAAATGTAAGTCACTGTATACATGTGTATATGTAATCAATAACTTCAAAACCGCTTTAAATGGGAATTTAAAATTGATCATGTATTGTTGGTTGACAAATTATTCTTTTAACTGTAATAGGTCTGTTGCAAAGTTTTACACCTTTTGATTGAAATAAGTTCAAAATATACTACAATATGCTTATAGGAAAACGCTTACAAAGAATTTACTTTAACCAATTCAATACTATTAGATCATGAGAAATTTGAAAGTTGCTTGGTTAAAAAGTCAAACTAACCAATATCTTTACGAACTATTTTTAAAAACATCAATACCTGGCATGCCAAATTTATTATTATTTTAAATTCACCGTATATTCTTTATTGGAATATTTTATACAGGTATTTTAATTTTTTTTAATTTGCTTTCCACTATTGGCCTTGCTCTGTATATCAGACACCTGTCACAAAAGGCGAAAACTTCATATTAAATATTTCTGTCAAAAGACTACACAAAGGGACCTCAAGTCCAACCTAAGCCCCTGCTACACAGCAAACATTCTTATAATGAAGCGGGGTATTTTAAATCTGGCATATTGTTCCCGTACATATGAAACTGTTCCCCCCACGTGTGTACTGTGGTCTCTGCGATCATTAAATTCAAATATCTTCTCAGCCAAATATGTAATTTATCATTCATTTCTTTCTATTATGACATGCACTTTGAGAAAAAATCAACTTTATCAAATATAATGTCTTTCAAGTTCTATTCAGGCTGTTTAAATGTTCCCTTTTTATGTTACCTGCCTGTCAACTGGAATTCTGCATTCCATTGCATGCTCAAATTTTTTGGAAGAATACTTATATGTAAAATATTGAAATAAATTGTCCACTGAATATATATAATACTGACACCAAGACCCACCTGAACACTTTGCAGCAAACCAGAAAATTTTACATTAAATGAATGGTAGTTTTGCATTAAAATGATGCAGGATTTTATCTATAATATTACATTTGATCATACAATTGTCTGTATTTATCACCATGTGACTGTGATAGATCTGTTGTATTAACCAAAGAGAACTTGGATTACTCCCTGCATCACAAACATTTCTGTCTTGACCTCCATGAGGTGGGTATGAACTACACTGTACACTGATACACATAGTGGTTCACCAGACCTGTGTATCCTTAAAAAATCCCTCAGTAGAAGCAGTGTCTAGAAAACCACAGACTGACACTGACTTTAATGACTAACATCAAAGAAGCAGAGATGTTACTTGGCATGAGCTAGGTCCAGTATTCAGATAGGCAGTACTTACTGGAATGTAAGTCAGCTGAGAGCCCAGTGTTTAGTAATACATGTACCACTTACCACAGGAGCAGCAGACAAAACACTTGGTGTGATAGAGATTGCCCATAGCTTGACACGCTTCTGTAGCACCAGACACCCTCTCCCCACAGGTAAAGCACTGACCTACAAAACATACACAGACAGGTTAATTACTGACTTACAAAACATACATCAGTAAATACTGACCTAAAACCTACACATACCTGCTAATTACTGACTAACAAAACATTTTTTTTACAGTAAGTACTGACCTACAAAACATACCCACACATGTTAATTACTGACCTATAAAACATACATATCAGTTAGTGATGACCTTCAATACAAACATATCTGTTAGCACTGGCCTACAAAACATACACATAACAGTTAACTACTGACCCACATAACATACACATATCAGTTAATAACTGACCAACAAAAACATACATATCAAATAATAACTGACCTCCAAAACACACACATTAGTAAGTTGCTGACTTACAGTACATACACATATCATTTAATTACTAACCTACAAAAACATACAAAATCAATTAAATACTGTCCTACAAAATAAACACATCAGTAAATACTGACATACAATACATACACATATCTATTAATAACTGACCTTAAAAACATACATATCAGTTAATTACTGCACTAAATAACACACATACCACTTAATTACTGACCTAAGATACATATACATATCAGTTAGTCATTGATGTACAAATCATAGATATCAGTAAGCACTGACATACAATACATACACATACTGGATTTATTAACTGATTATCCCAAAATGAGACTAAAAAGCTTATACAGTGAAACACGCTTATAGAGAACATGCTTATAATGAATTGAAGCTTACAGAGAAGTGATTTTCATTCCCCTCGACTTTTAAATCAGGCCTCTCACACCACTTTTTGGGACTGGGGCCGGGGCCGTTCAAATTGGGAAAATTACCATCCTTTTGGGAAAAGTTGGATAACCAATATTCATTTATTGGTTATTGATTTAAAAAATCCTCAAATTTTGCTTTTCTAGCATTTTGTCATCTGTTTAACTCTGGTTTTGAATACAGATCAAACACGGGTACGTAGGCTATTTATGAAAGTACATTAGCTTTGTCATTACTATCTTTGAGTGTTGCTATTGCAGTTATCTGTCTTTCTGAGTGACAGTCGCTGGTCACATTGTCCCGAATTTCCTCGATCACATGGACAAAGTTGCTTACCAATACAGCGCGAGACTGATCATGCCGAAGCGTGCATGGGTATGTTTCTACGTGCAGCTTACTAATATATAAGTGAAATGTCTTTTTTTTGAAACCAAAAAAATGTTTTAATTTCGTCAGATAAAGACATGATAAACAATGCATAGTATACTCTGAACTCATAAATTGTATACATTTTTATTTAAATGTTATCTGTTCAGAGGGCTAAAAAATCAACTTTAATGGAATGAAAACCATTCAACCATTAAATAACTGGTTTGGCAACTAATAAAGTAGTGGTACAGTTTCACTTTCATTTTCAAGTGTGTTTTGTTTGGGTTTTTTTTTTAAATAACACACATAAGTTTCATGGACTTTTATTTTTTAATTAATATTTTGCTATGAAAATTACTGGAAATTTACACCTTTCTTATTAACTGAAAAAATGGTACCTTTTTTACAGTGAAACACAAGCTTATAGAGAACACGCTTATAATGAATTGACACTTATATTGAAGTGATTTTCATTCCCCTCGACTTTTAAATAAATTGTAAACTTGACAAATATCAGTTTCTGATTGTGAAGGTTTTGGGACTGAGAGAGGGCATCAACATCTTAAAGTTGAATAATTCTCAATGTGAACTACATGTATTAAATTACCCTAAACACACTCTATATGTACAGAGGTTTTGGTGTGAAAAAAAAGTTAATAGTTAAGCATGGAGAAAAACATGAGCCTCAGGGTGTAACCAATATACAACAGGTGACCTTAGACCTTTAGACAAATAATTATGTAACCATGAGCACTAAGTTCCCATATATACCTCATTTAAAAACATACATGTATCTGACAATGTATTATGAGTGTATTGCTTAGAGTCAAATCTAAGGTATGTTAAGTATACACACAAATATCTTTTTTTATCACAAGTAAACTACTTTATATGTGTATTTATCTGCAGTTATCTTCAATGTATGCAGGAAATGTGTCAAATTCAAGTGTCTTATCAATCCATTGATTATATAAGTCAAATACCTGTCTGTAATGTCTATCTTATGAGTACCTATCTCACTGCAGTGTATACTTGACAGAACCTTGACTAGTGTAGGAATCCTTGAGATTCAATTGTATAAAGATTTGAAAGCCAAGTTTGTATGTGAACATTTAATGACATTTGTGTTTATTACACTGCATTGTGACAATAGAAAATCACTATGATCAAAAACTCGAATATTGTCAAGGCAAACTAAAATGTACCCATTGCCCACTGATCTACTTATTGTACAGGGTTATTAACTAGCAGGTAAAGTGGGAATGGGAAACTGCTCGACATTATATTACATAAATATTGGTCCAAGGGCATCCCCCCTCCCCCTCCCTCTCCCTTTTCCATAACTAAAACTGAGTTTTCATTTTATTTTTCCTAAGGGAAAAGTATCAATTACCAGCAGTTAAGACAGACCTTTGACTTTGACACTCAACTATGCCAACTTCTGACACAATGAGACTGCTACCTCTAAACTGAAAGAGATTCAAATAGACCATGCTGAAGACACACAAAATAACTAAAAGAGTAAATTATTGATTTCTAATCATGTTAATATCTATGAGGTGGTAGAAGGTGAAAATCAAAATGATATACTGTGTGGAGAATAATTTGATATTAGGTGGAGTACATGAATTATTGTAAAGAATAAGGAAATATTGACCTGGCAGTTTTACCCGATAACAGTATTTCAACATTTTTAATGATAATTTGGTTTAATCACTGCTTTTAAACATTTCACTTTTAATCTCCTTGAACATGAGGAATTCCTGTGTCTCTGTGACAAGAAAGCACTCTATCTGAAGTGAGTCATAAAATACAGTGTATCATAGGCTCAGTTACAACAAAGCACCTGACGCGATGTCTTAATCCAGTGATCTATATACACCAGGAGTCTGTCATTACAACTACAGGTCTACTAAGGTCTCAAAGCCCGGCTTTTACAAATATTTAGTTAAATCTGACCAGATATATACCTGGTTACCTTAATATGATACATAAACTACAACGGGATGTGTCATGTCTGTAAACCACATCAAGTGGAATTCTCAGCTTTAAACGTTTTGGTGAGGTCATCAGATTTTGGTTTTTTGAGACTAATCTGGTGTCAATTTAAAATTCCTGTCATCAGCTAGCAGACTAAAGATTGCCTTGTACATGAGTAAACTCTGAACAAAAAGAATCCAGCAAGCCACAACTATGTCTGTCATCCTTGGGTTTATTTTACCTCTGAACTTTAAGTTTGATGTAAGGCTTCAAGTTCTATTTAAACTGCAATCTCTGCTAAAGGATATATTTCTTTAACATTTACTCTTTAAATACCTCATTATTTGCACTGAATTTGACCTGAAACATAAGTACCATATGGGAGTGTTTATTTGTGTCTTTTATGGTACAATGTGTTTGGTCAACAGTTACAAAATTCATAACAAATAAAGTCAAATCACACACCACCAAAGGTACAAATTCTAGCACAGTTAATGTTTTGTGCTTGCTTTCTTACAGACTTTATAAATTTCATCCAACAATTATTTCACAGTCAATAATGATGGCCAAGATAATACGTACATAATACATTTAATACAACTACATTTGCCCTTACTAGGTGAATGTTAACTACATGTATTCCTTCCTTGTTATTCATCTTAACAAGACACCATGACATTAGGGACATTAAATGAAGAGTATGTAAAAAGATGAAAACATTAAGTAGCCATTTCCTGTGGAGAACTCCTCCTTATACGGACTGGACTAGGATTCTCCGCGGTTGTCAGGTGTACAGACTTGGTCAGGCCTGACCAATCTCTCTGATGGGCAGCAGTAACCTGCTGGGAAGTCAAACCCTTCACAGCTGACCTCCTGACCACAGTGAATCTCAAAGAGAGCCGTGAATGGGTAGCAAAGAAATCAAGGGCCTCAGAATATCAGAGCACAAGATGAAAGGTTGACAAAGAAATCCAGAAAAGGGGTTCTCAAAAATCAAAGTGCAAGGTGAACGGGTAGCAAACAAATAAAGACGTGTAAAAAATGGACCTACTAGTCTTCCCCTCCTAAGGTGCAGAGAGTTGATGACAAAGTTCCCCCCCCCAAAAAATGATTTTCTCCTCTCATACTCTTTTTTAATGTCCAAATGTTTTCAGTTGTTAACTCTTATGTACATTTAAATGAAAAAAAAATTATTTCTGTTTTCAAATTTCAGATGCTTTGCAATGAGATGAAGTGTAAATTTTAATGGGGTGGGGGAGGTACAGAGTGAGAGAAATAGAGATCAAGCGGCGGCCTACACAGGGATACCGGGTAACTTTGTAAACACCGCAAGAAAAGACAGAGAAATATCTGCACATGTTCAGACAAATATATCTCTGGATTTCCAAACAAAAACTTTTAAGTCTTTAAACTTTTAAAAACTTATCAATTCTCAAAAGAAATTCAAAGATTGTCAAAGTATTTTAATCCATTAGGAAAACTGCTTTTAAAAAACATTTAAAATACATGAATCCCTCTGGGCTGCACATTTTTATACAAAAGCACAGACTTTCCTGTTTATATTTCTGTTACGGATAATCGAAATTTGTTATTCTATAGCTAATAAATCCCGAGAGTCCTAACAAAGGACTAGACTCGACTGGGATAAAACTGTCGTGATCTATACAAAACTATAACTAACCTCCTGATCAGTTTTATGATATAATAATAAAACCTATAAAATTCATTTCGTTATGCTGTTCATGTGTGTGTGTGTGGGGCATGCTGGATAAAACCTGTGATGTAAACACCTTCAACATAACACACACTGCAGGCAGCTAATCCTTTGTGTGAAGGCAGAGAGCAGCTGATGCTCTCCATAAATAAAGCTCTTATTGATGCCTGGCAAATTAACATCAAACCGGGGATTAAAGCAGCATTCCTAGAATACCTGACAATTAATATGCCAGGTCAAAGAATCAATAAACACAAGACTGTTGCAGAAAATCTATCAATGGTCTGATGCCTGCAAGGTTTGTCTGCCACTACCCACCCTTCATTACTCATCAATCATCAATAGATCAGTGATTGATAGGTAAATGCAGGGTTTTAATATCTATGTCAAATTTGATTATTTACTTCACTTTTTGCAATAAAATGTCGAAGACAAAAGTGCAGGTTTACACTGTATTTCATAAAATGTGAACAATTAAATGCCTGCTGTGTAAATCTGATAATATGTCAAACACAAACCTCCACAATCATGACAATATGGCTTAATACTTTTCAATTCAATTTCATACCACTGTGAAATGATATCACTAAGTATACTAAGTATCTCAATGTTTATTAATTGATCATTTAGTTAAAATGGTATAAATGCCCCTTATGTGGGCCTTTGATTGGTGAGTAAACCATAAATATATCTACACTTAGTGTTTACTAATACACTAGTGGTAGCCTTACCAAAATATTCTCCTTGCGGAGATTTTTCCATGTCATCCTCTAGCTGTTGGGTGAGAGCCGCCACTTTTTGTTCGATGCTGTCGGCGACAGATTTTCCGGGATGTGTTGTGATATGGAATGGCATCTGTGCCTGGGGCCTGACGGCCACGGAGGGGGGATTTTTCCCCGGGGCGGGGACAGTGGAGGTGACAAATCCAGCAGTGGACGTCAGAGGCTGCTGGTGATGCTGGCAGGTCTGGATAAGGTTAGGACTCGCCGTCGTGTATCGTGGATTTCTGGGTGGTAAACTAGGGACAGGTTCAGTTTTATGGGGACCATGATAAGGGGGAGGGGGTGGTTTGTGAACAGTCTGATCCGCTGGAAAGTTCTGAGATCCAGCCATTTTCATGCTGTCTTCTAATTGCTGTGTTAACACGGCTAACTCCATTTCAAAGTTTTTATTGCTACTAGGTGTCTGATTGAGAGGGATTCTGGCAGGGATAGCTGGAGGTGCTCCCTGAGACCCAGGTAAGCTGTTCAGGCTTCCAGACATTGAATTCAATTTACCATTCATCTGCTTGTGAAACTGAGATCCATTGAGATTTTGATTATTCATTTGAGACACACTTACTGGGGTAACATGCATTCTCAGTCTCGGATCTGAGTATGCAGGGGGTGCATGTGGAGCAGGTTCATTAAAGCGACTGTCATTCAATAGATAGAAATTTTTTGTAGGTCCCAAACTGACATTTGAATGATATTGTCCATAGTTGTCTAGAACCATACTGTTTCTGGGACTTGGTGGAAATTTGTCCAGCATTACACCTGACACACCCACTAGACTTGTTCTGGGACTAGACAGTTTGGATTCATATGATGTACCAGATATACTTGACCTCGGACTCGCCATGCTTGAACGAGGACTGCCAAACCTCTGGTCATAAGGAGGGGGAGGTGGCGGGTTTGTAAGACTTGTTCTGGGACTTGAACCCTTGGAATCTCCCCCACTGCCCACACTTGAACGAGGACTAGAGTAATTTGATCCAGGCTTGACAAGCATGCCCGAGTACATGCTGCTGCCTCCCATTATCATCTGGGAGTTCCCTATCTGATGAGACATTTGGACATGTGATATTGACTGGTTTAACATAGAACCTCCAGGAGCAGGATAAGAGGTCCGTCCTATCATGATGTTCCGATTTTCACTCATGTTATATCCCAAAGTGCAGAAATTCCGAATCCGTTACGTTTTCGACGACTCCTGTTGTCCGCCTAAGTTTATGCCTTTTCTTGGAGACATACAACTCACACGAAACACGTACAACTTTTCCTCTTAGGGTTTCTTTCTATCAGTGTGTTAGAATCTTATGTTACCTCAATTTTCCCCCGAGTAACGGGATAAAAATTCCACTTGTTTTACTGAATTTTTCAGGTAAACAGAATTTTGGCTTAAAGACATATACTCTATCACATTTGTAGAGCTTAAACATGTGGAAATCATGGTCACTTAATAAACGACATATTTAAAGAATCACAATGAATCCTTGAATTCACGAAATACGTTCACTCAACCATCGCATCACCGTTGTTTTCTGTTGTGTTTGCAATGGCGGGTTGCGCGTAGGGATTTCATTGTTCAGATGAGACCATGACAGTACGTGGTCTTTTAACACAGATCGTACGCAAAAATCATTCTAAATGTGCATTTTAAATTTTTAAACATTTTAAATAATACCTACGATCAATTTTAATTATATCGTGACTCATAAGAACTATGTGGTTTGTAGCAGAACAGAAACATCGTAATTCGCCGGATATTGATTCAATATATTGACAAGGCTGGTGCGCGGATCCAATATCCAGCAAGACTACTGTCTTGCCCATTCGCAATGTTTACTGCTTTATATCTGTTTCGGTTTCCCTCTAAAATTTTGATTTATTTAATAACTAGCAAGTTGAATTGCAATTCAAAATCAAAAGATGATTTGAGGTTTTAACTTAAAAAAAAAGGGGGGGTCAGGAATGCATTCCGAAAAATCTAAGTGAACCAGAGCCCCTCCCCAACCACACTTCCCCAAAATCAAAACAAAGTCAAGTATACAATACTGGCGAGTGTGTGTACTGGTATTATATAGATATTTTTTAAATGGTTTATAAACTTGTACAGATGGCAATATTAATGCACAAGGGAGAGACAAGCACAGCAACCTACAAATTCTAAAATCAGTGGTTTAGATTGCCTCAATTGTCAAATTATAAACCCTATGCTCAGTGTTACCAAATAAGATTAAATAAACCACAAGTTTGTCTTAAATGTTCATACAAATATAAAAAAAAAATATATCCGACTTTTTATCGTCTTTAAAGAATCTTTACTTAACATTGTGAAGGGGGGGGTTCTCATACAAGTTTACAAATTTACATACCGGGTATACCTTAAATAGTCATCATATTTTGTAATTTTTAGAGATGTTATACCTATAAGTGTACAAAAATGAGCTTTTGAATTCAGCAATTCGAAAAATCAAATACGCGCATAAAATTTAATTGCTGAATGACATACACATGTATACTATTATATATAATAGTACCTTCTGTCCTTGAATATATATATAAAAAAAAACTGTTACTTCGTTGGAACATTATCAAAGAGCTTACGTGCAATGGCCTATATTTATTATTTACTTTGGTAGATCTTCGAATTTATAACTGTATTTTTCACTGCACAAACAATACCATTTAAAGCAACTCGAACTGAAGTCATGTTGTCAAGTAAATTTTATATTAACTGCATGCCTCCCGGTTAATTCAAAATTTACATCTCTCTCTCTCTCTCTCTCTCTCTCTCTCTCTCTCTCTCTCTCAGATTTTCTTTTGAAATCACCTCACCAGACACCAAAAAGAAGCAAACTTAGTTTTTACGAGGTGAGTTAAATTAACCGCATCTTCTACGCGTTACCGACTCGATATCTAGCTGAAGTTACGACTGGATTTTCTAGATTTCAGGAAGCAGAAACTACTATGGTAAGACATTTTTGAATATTTTTATTTACTTCAAATATTGTTTATTCAAATGTTTTTCATGCGTAATAAATAAAAAGTGTAACCACGAGGGTTGTTCGAAAAGTTCGTGGACACCTGTCATATCTTTTTTATTTAACGTCATGTACTAACCAAATTTGGTAGAAATGTTTTAACAATAAATCCAGATTATTCGTATTAAAAAAAATTAAATTATCATGATTTATTTCAAAACTATCCAGAATAAAATCTGCAAAAATCGGATCGCGGAGCAGGTCAAAATTTAGTAATTTACAAACAACACATGAAATAAATATGACAATGTCTGTGGTCATATTCTCTGTAAAATGGAACAAAAACGAAAAAAAAATCCTAAACTTTTTAAATTAAGAACTGTTCCATTGATTCGTATTCCAAATTATGGCTTAATATCTTCATTCGTTGAAAAGAAATCAACTTGGGAAGTTAGGTAGTCCTCATTGAGAGCGACAAAACCGATGACGTTGTTAACGTCACAGAGCAGCAGATAACGATGCAATTTTGTGTCATACTCGGGAAAAATCCTGAATAAAATCTAAAATGTAAAAGGAATCAAAAATTATGTTACAATTAAGTCGTGTATGTGTTTATAAATGGTACAGACGGTATTTGAGAGACAGAGGCTCTGTATCGGACGAGGACAATCTGTGAAGAAAAGGTTTATCTGATAAAATGTTATCAAAAACTTTAAAAATTTGGAACGTCATGGAAAGACATCTAGGCGCTTCCGAGTTGCTGATTTTGTGAAAGCATCTAAGTGCTAAAAGAAAGAAAACATTGACGAAGGAAATTATATAACGAGAACAATTGTTAGAAAAAAAGAATTTCAAGTGCTAGAAAAAGCTTTTTACTAAGTATTTATTAAACTAAACTGTTGAAATGTATAGCCTGGATAGTATTTTTAAGAAATTCTTGACGCTATGTTTTTGACGTTATATTGTCGTTAAGCATGCTCCGCGGGTACAAACATGTTGATTTTAAAATGAAGTAAATTGAATTCTATGAAATCGAATAAAATTAAACTGAACACTTCAACAAACCAAATATTTTTTACCAGACTTAGAGCTTTTTTTCTGGATACTACTGGCAGAAGTACAAGAAATACAAAATAACTGGTACGTGAAACAGTATATAGATAGGCAAGCTTGCTCCGAAAATCAAGGACCAAAAAGGAGTCTTAATATTCTCCATCGTCCTTCTTTATAATAGAATTTTTAAACATACTATCCAGTCATGCTGTAGCTTCAGAACCGTGGCGTTTTAATTTTTATATGTTATAGTCTAAAACTTAAAATATTTAGAAATAAAACGCTACATTTCTGCAGCTTGATATATTGCAGAGTTTATACGATAAATTCTTTCTGAAAGGACAATATCAAAAACCACGTATGGCGCAGTAGTAAAATCGATAATACGCTTACATTTCGAACACCCTTGAGTGTTAATGAAGAAAAGCTTGCAAGGTTTCAAGATGATAAACATCAACGTAGTTTATTTGATAACATTAAAAATATGTCATTTTCAGAAATTTATTACCTTCGCCAGTGTGTTGTTGTTGGCAACAGTGATTGAGAACGAAGCTAGATTCAAGAACATCCCTTGCTACTCTTGTGACTATATTATGCGTTTCTGTAGCTTCCGGTGTCGTCATCAGCCGAGTTCGGCCCAGAACTACTACTGCAATGACTTCTGTGAACGGAGGAACGAGCGCTGTTACCTTGAGTGTAGGGAAGATCGCGAGGGTTACGACTGACCCACCGCCCACAGAAACCAGGCACCCGGACAATGAGCGCTGATACACCACTGACAGAAATAACAACCAACACCTCAGCTCTTATGTAAAACTTAATTCTATAGGATCAATAAATATTACACAGCTTTTTGGTACGTATTTTTGTATGTATGGAAAATACTTATGAAATACTGTTAATTTTTCAACGAATCATAAATTATTTGGAGATAACGAAGAATATATTCAATTGAAAGCTCAAAAGTCCAACAATAGCGAATCAAGCACGGACATCTAAAGCATCCAGAGGCGGGATCAAATGCCTTGGAAGAATGAACACCCCCTATTGACCATGATCAGGAAATAACGGGAAAATCCGTCGATGATTCAGTGTGTAAATGATGGCCTATCAATTAGTATGAAAAACGCCACATGGGATATATTGTATTTGTTTCATCAACTTGTTTGTCAATAAATTACCTCGTCTAAGAAGTTGTTCATACGTAGAGCATGCATGTTTTTACGTATAGAATAACTGAAAGATGGAAATCACAGGCATCTGACGTTACTTATTTTTAGGTCACCCGAGTCACTCGGGTGACCTTAATAAAATCATTCATTACTGCCAGTGTGGGATAGTGAAATTCCACCGTGAATCTTGTCCCCGAGGTGGAATTTCACTATCCCACACGAGTATGTAATGAATGATTATTTTTCTGGCAATATTTTCCATCTAATTAAAAATCTGAATACACCATCGCAAAAATTGGGTCGAGGTAAAGTGTGGCCTATCCATCCCTATTTTCTCTTCTTTATGTCAATATAGATGAAACACATGGAGATACCGAACAGTATTCAAGATCAAAACTCCATAAAACAATACAGAATAGGAGCAGGGCAAACAGGGACCTCCAAAACATCGGAGGTGGGATAGGGTGCCATGGAGGAGTGAGCATCCCTGCAACCGGTCACATCCACCGTGTGCTCTTTGTCACCATCGGGAAATAACGAAAAAAAATCCGTCGTCGATTCAGTGTATAAATAATGGACTGAAAATTTGCATGAAAAGCGTCAGTCAGCATTTGACCCAATGATAAATTGTATTTACTGACAAGGTCATTGTATCGACCATAGAACTTACGAAATGATGACTTTAAACGAGACTGCTGAAATTCTTGTTTCATCATCTTATTTGTCAATAATTAACCTAATTAATTAATTAGAGCATGCTCTTGCGTATTGTATAAACTCCGTATGAAGGTACGAGGGTTGATCCAAAAGTAATGTCACAACTTTGATAATATTGCTATAAATCGACGTAAAATAACAAAATTAAACATGATAAAAGCTTTCTTTATTTCAAATCAGACCTGAAAAATTCAAAGGAATATGATGCATACTTTACAAAATATCGGATTTTAAACAATGAGCGTTTATGGTAGTCGCCGCACCTAAATAAAACGTCATATGACGGATACGCACCGTCATACTTTTAAGCGTTTCCCTTCCGTTTTATTAAAAATATTTGTGATTCGCAAACACTTTTACCAATGCCACTTTCTTTAAGAATTCTTGGTACTATTATACACTCACTCTTTTCATAATTAAAATTAAGCCCACTGTAAAATTTTTTTGAACAGTAGCATAAGAGAAACTTAAAAATTCACATGTCACTCTATACGTTTGTTTGTTTTTGTTTATTTTTACAATGTCAGACACCATTGAAAGTTTCTGCCCGATTTCCTATCTTTCGGTCTTCTTTTCCTCTGCTGATCATTCAGTGGCCAATCAACCGCCCAAAATTGCTGAAACCATCTATTAAGATGTACGTCTCTTATTTACATTCTTTATTCTGTAAGTCTGATTAATTAACGTAATTGTCGTAAGTGATGATTCCCATATTTTGAAGCAAAAATGCATTACAACTCGTGGAGCCGTTTTTTCCCATTTCGACAATCCCTCTGGTCAAACAGAGTGAAACAACAATGTTTATGATCACAAATACCAATGCGCCGTCATTTAATTTTCAATTAAAGACTAGAAAAAGACGAGTATTGTGTCTTTTTAAAAAAATGGAAGATTAGATGCTTTTTTAGAATCTTTAAATGTGTTTGTCTTTTTTATTCTAAGAAAAAAATACACTTTAAAACGTGACGTTCCGTTGTGACGCGGTGACACCCCCTATGCTCTATGTTTTAAACATCTATGAAATAAATACAAATAAACATTTTTTAATTAAAATTTCAATGTTACTTAGATTTATATTTGTGCATCTTTTGGTATATTGTATTTGATAATATGACGCCAAATATAAAAGATATGGACACTGTGACATTACTTTTGGATCAACCCTCGTATATTGCTGCATAAGTAGGGGGAAGTTGACGATAGAAAAGTTAAAGTCATCACGTTTATCATAGAGCTTGGTTGTTAGATTATCATTAACAGTATCTAGTTTAAGCTTTGCATATGACCTTGTTCTGCTTTCAGAGTCACATAGTGGTTTACTTGAACTTGAACTTGAAGTTGAACTTTATTCTCATAACTGACAAAACAGTGAAGAGAAGATATATACAGTACAATGAACATGAAATATTACATGCATGAAGAAAGGATAACAGAGTAATATCAACCAAGAGAGCTAACTCTCACAATTATAATGTTTAACAATTTACAAATCTTGCAGAGTTGATAAGTATTGGTTACATTAAAAAGCATTTCAAATTTCAAAATATTTGGATTCAAATAAAAATATTTTGACAAATACATGACTCTTGAGTTCTTTATAGACACATCTAAGTAGTGAAATTCATCCCCAATGTCACTGCTATTACATAATTTACAAATTCTGTTTTCTCTAGGGATGTTAAACCATCTACCAGTTTCAATTGGTAATTTTGTATTCCCAGTTCTAAATAAACAATATTTCTTGGATTGTTTTGGAGGCAAATTCAACAAATAGTCTTCAAAAATTAATGATTTTTTAAAGATTCTATAGTTCAAACCTTTAGGGGAAGTTTGCACTTCACTAAACCATGTTTGTTTAAACTGATCTAAAAGAATGGTATATACTTTATTTTTAAGCCAAGATATATTAATTGAATTTTCATACCAGACATAAGTCAATCCACATTCATTTAAAATTTTCTGTACAAAGTCACACCATGGATTCTTATATAATTTCAATGCACATAAAAGCTTTGCTAATAATTTAGAGCACTGAGCATTAATGAGTTTACCCCAAAATGAGATCATTCTAACTTTGATATCAATTAATAAAGGGTGTCTACCAAGTTCTCCATACACCATAAAGTTTGGTGTTGATGTTTTCAGGCTCAGAATATGTTTACAAAATTTTAGGTGTAATTTCTCTATCAGTTTAGTATTGTGAAAACCCCATATTTCACACCCATATAAGAGTATTGGTTTGACAATTTTATCAAACATGTCTAATTTACAATCAATTGATAAGTTATGTTTTCTACATCTACCAATAACACCATACATAGCTTTAGTAGCTTTATCATATGTGACGCGCCAAGCAAAAACCTCCCTTATCTCTATTATGACGTAACGTCAAAAGACGCGTCTAAAGTCAACAAGGTAAAATCGACGTAAAAACGCCTCCTCGAAAGAATTGAGAAATTCTACCCCAGGAAAACAAGGAAATTATTTATATGCTAGAGGGAATATTTTTGGGTGTGGTTTGATGTAATTAATTCTCTAAGAAGTTAGTTTCCTTCAAGTGTCTGTGTGATCTTTCCTTTTCGCAATTAAGTGTATATTATTAAAGATGTCCAGCCATGGTTAAAAAATTCCAGTAAGACCGTTTTTAAAATGAAGTTTGTTTGCCCTCTCACTATTCGGGTTAAAATAATTGCGTCGGTATAGGTAGGTCGAAATTTTTTTTTTCGTCGGAGATTTTCAATGTTGAATAAAATTGAAGGCATGAAAAAAAAATAGTTGTTGATGGGATGAGAAAATTCCGGAATGAATACTTTGGAGGTTTTAAAAAATTTTTAGTCGGTTAATCTTAAAAGGTCAAACAGACAAGTTATTATAGATAGGTTTTTTTTTAAATTTAATATGCAGCTGTTTAATCGTTATATATGCATAAGCAAGAAAAAGTAAACAAGAGCATTATACTAAGAAAAGTTTTTTTTTAAATAGATGCGGTGAGAAATGACATGAATTACTTCTCTTTTATTTAAGGAATGAATTTGATAGCTACCCAATTTATATGATATAAACTGATTTGGGGCAGTAAACAGTGCAGTTTATATTTTTAAAAAAGTGTAAAGTGTTCCAACAAAGTTTATACCGTATAAATTGGGTAGCTATTAATTTAATTCCTTTTAATTTAGTTTTTCTTCATTTAGTGTATGAAAAAAAGTCGATTAAAAATCACTTCAAATAGTACAATATTAAAATGTAGCGTCAGGCGGATCGATATATTTTTGATGCATGTGATTGTGACATAGATAACCCAAATTATGCAATAAAAAGTAATTTCTTTATCCAACCAAATACCGCGTTATAACTAGAATTAAATTATTATATCATTTCATTTCCGTAGATGTTGTAAGTTAGAAAAATGCATCCCTGTTCATTGTTCTTTTCTGTGCAAGTAGCAAGGACTGTACATAATCTTTGATAGCTTGCCAAGGATATTGATAAATAGTTACGTTTAGTTAACAAAAATGTAATATTCTCTCTTGATACAACACAGAGTATTTGATTTGGATACTTCTTCCGAAATTAGTTTTAGCCGTTGATTTAAAATGAAAATTTTGAAGAAAGGCCTATTGAGCTTCTCAATTGATTTTGTTATTGTTGTATTGTTTAACACCTTCTTATGTTGTACACAAAAATGTAGGAAAAATCGGAACCCCCCCCCCCCTTTCTCCTGTGTCACGTGTCTGCTCTATCTCTTTGGTGACTTTCGTGCAAATTTTGTCGTGAATATACGGATGCTCGTATATTTTGTAAGTTACAGTCCCACTTTCTAAGAAATTTTATGATTGAGAATAAAGCAGATTGAACATATGTTTATTGACCTTTTTCCGTCATTTTGCTGCACTGTTAAGTATTCATAATCCGTTAGCTGAGGTTGTACACACCGATGATAATACATCGAATGAAACTGGCAAAC